TAGGGCTAAAGACGAAACCAAGTCCAGTGTTAGATCAGAAAGTGCAAATAGCCTCCACTTAACAAGATTGTAGAGGAAATAATGTTCAAGAGTATCAGATTTAAGTAAGAAGTAGAAGTTGAAAGGCTTGTGTCAGATAACTCATTAATATAAGGGATTTTTCTAACAAATGACCCAGTTCTACAGATCAGAGTAGAAGGCTTGGGCATGTTGGAGTGAGAATATGGGTTGAATGGAGTGGGTTAGCATGCAAAAGCTAATCATTTGGACTTGCTGTGAGGACTGGCATGAAGAGACCAAGTTGCCATGGGACATTAGGGAAGAGTAACAAATGCTTGAGGGTGGGGTGAAAGGGTCACCAAAAAACAAGTGGGATGCCAGGCACCAGTGGCTCATGCCTTTAATCCTGGCTACTCAGAGGCCAAGATCTGAGGATTGCAGTTCAAAGCCAGCCCAGGCAGTAAAGTCTGTGAGACTCTTTTCTCCACTAAACTACAAAAAGCTGGAAGTGGAGTTGTGGTTCAAGTGGCAGAGCATTATCCTTGGGCACAAAAGCATAGGGTCAGTACCCAGGCATACAGTTCAAGTCCCAGGACTGACAAAAATAAATAAATTTATACACTTTCCTCCAGGTATAGAGGTTTCTTAGTGCTCTTTCCATATTTTATTCTATTATAAGATCTGAAGTTAGAATCTCTTTTTGAATTCTCCTGTTGTTTGCCATTCTGAAGTCCTTACTACTGTGCAAGAAAGAGATCAATTCTTAAGAGGGTGAAATGGATAGTGGGAAAAGACAAATGGTTTCCTTCTGGATCTCTCTGAAAACTCTCTAGAGCTCTCCAACTTCTAAAAATTTTCTGAGTCTGGCTCTTGAAGATGAGCTGCTGTCACCTGGTGCTTGGTGAGTCTACTGATGAATAGATTCAACATATGGCAGTCTTTCCTCCAGTTGTATGAAGTCATCATTCTGCTTGGAACAATAAACAGCTACTTCATCATTTCTTTTGGAGACGAATGAATAGCTAAGTCAAGGTGTGGTTCTCCAAGAACACTACAATCCCTTGTGAGTCTTCTGTAGTATGAGGCCAAAGATAATGATAGCAACAGGTAATATGGGAAGTGTTTCACCACAAACAAGGGATAGGCCATTGAAGAGCCATATTATTGCTGAGTTAAGCCTCTGAACCATTACAGAATTGAAATCTGGCTCCACAGATGATATCATATGAAGGCAAACTTGTAGTAAGAAAAGAATTTAAAAAGCTGGTCCCTGGTGGCTCACACCTGTAATCTTAGCTTCTTGGGAGGCTGAGATCTGAGAATCATGGTTCAAAGTCAACCTGGGGATGGAAAGTCCATGAGACTCTTATTAACCACCAGAAAACTGGAAGTAGTGCTGTAGCTCAAAGTGGTAGAGTGGTAACCTTGAGCGAAAAGGCTCAGCAACAGCACATAGATCCTGAGTTCAAGCCCCACAACCAGCAAAAAGAAAAAAGAAAAAAAGAAAAGAAACAGACCAAGAATCAGGTACTAATTCTGAAGCAAAAAGTAAACTCTACCAAAGCAAAGCCATTGTAGCTAGAACAAAGCTTGGCAAGAGTCCTAGGATATAAACTCTACCAGCCAGCCCACCTCCTCTCTCTACCTCTCCTAGACTTCTCCTCTACAAATTACAAATCCAGCAAATTTAAACTTCTTTCTACTTCATCTGATCCCTTCGTGTAAGTTTTTTACCCATGTGTCTTAGCTTCCATGCCACATCCTTACTGTACTGTTCCTCGCCTCCCAGATTAGAATAACCAGGTCTCTCCCTAATGCATACTGTCTTACACACTAGCCTCCCAATTTTTCTCATTACTTCTTTAGTGTTTTGTCTTCCCTACTAGACCATAACTTCTACAAAGGTAGCGTATATGGCTGCTTTTTGGAATACTACAGTATTGCTAAAGCCCACTACAATGACTAGAAGAGAAACAATTAAATTTATTTGTATGTAATATATAGTGTATATGTATATTATGTATATGTGAAATATATAATGTATATATATAATAGTGTATTATATATCTGTAATATAATACATACACATGTATAATATGCATATATTATACATTATATACATATATTATACATATGTATATGCATATATTATATACATATGAACATATGTATACATAATATATATTATATACTACATGTATGTGTATTATAAATATAAAATGTTAGATGGATATATTGTTCTGCTTAACATAACTGATCATTTAAATACCATATGTAGCAGGTCATCCTAGCTATCAGCTATCAGCTATACCCAGAAAACTATTATGGACCTATTTCAAATCTTTAAAACAAACAGCTCCTATAAAACAATCTCCTACCCAGTAGCAAATTTAGTAAAATGCAATTTATTCATCATTCAAAAACGCAACATCCATTTTATACTGTGGTCTCAATGGTCCTTCAATATTTGTACTGAAATTTAATTGTCAAGTCAGTAAAACAGCTGGGATGTAGGAGGCAATTAAGTCACAAGGGAATGGAGTAGTGCTGTCCTCCTGTCATGAGCAGATGAATGCTGCCGTCATGGGAGGGGTCAGTTACTAGAGGTGGGTTCTTGTCATCTATGAATTCATTTTAGCCCTCCACAGTGTTATGTCTCAACAGAGACCATCTTGAGATGTCAGTACCACACTCTTCAATTTCCCAGCTTGTATCATTTATAAATTACTCAATCTTCACAATTTTGTTACAGCGGCAGAAAACAGATTAAGACATGTTATTTCTTACTTTCCTATTATTTTAATAAGATGGAGAAAGAACTGAAATGAAAACGAGACACTACTGTGTCACATCAAGAAAGGGATTCACGTGGAGGATATATTTAACATATTAATTCATATATTATAAAGTTTACACAGACCTAGGTATGATATCCATAAAAATACAAAATTGTCTCTCACAATTTCCACCACACTTCTGACTTTATATATCATTTTCAAAAGGAAGAAAAATATAGACTAAGAGAGACTTATTAAAGATAGCTTTCCAGTAAATTTACAAAATGATAAAAAAAAAATAAAGTATATCAAAATACAGCATCACCAACAAGGGGCCCCTGACTTTACTTTGGAAGAGCTGCCTAAGATACATCTAAAGCAAATAGCTATTAAAGGTCTTAGCCAGTTGGTCTTAACCACAAGATGACATGGCTAAACCAACGGACTTAGTATTTTCTCAGCACATTTATATGTGAGAAATAGATCGATCATTTTAATGCATATTTGTAATACATATAATTACATGATATGTGAAAGGCATTAGGGTTATTATTTTTTTTTTTTGGGTACGGTCATGGGGCCTGAACTCTGGGCCTGGGCGCTGTCTCTCAGCTCTTCAGCTCAAGGCTAGCGCTCTACCACTTGAGCCACAGCGCCACTTCCGGCTTTTTTCTGTTTGCTTATGTGGTGCTGAGGAATCGAACCCAGGGCCTTGAGCATGCAAGGCAAGCGCTCTACCACTGAGCCACCTTCCCAGCCCAGGGTTATTTTTTTTTAACTGCATCTTAAAAATCAATAGCTAAAGCAGGCACTGGTAGCCCATACCTGTAATCCTAGCTACGCAGGAGGCTGAGATCTGAAGATTGCAGTTCAAAGCCAGCCCAGGCAGGGAAGTTTATGAGTCTAGTGAATTAATCATCATAAAGAGAGGAAAAAAATTAAAGCTGAAGTGAAGCTGCGGCTCAAGTGGTAGAGCATTAGCCTCAAATTGAAAAAGCTCAGGAACAGCACTCAGGCCCTGAGCTCAAGGCTAGAACTGGCAAAAAAAAAAATAAGGGGCTGGGAAGGTGGCTCAGTGGTAGAGCGCTTGCCTTGCATGCATGAGGCCCTGGGTTCAATTCCTCAGCACCACACAAGCAGAAGAAAAAAACCGGAAGTGGTGCTGTGGCTCAAGTGGTAGAGTGCTAGCCTTGAGCTGAAGAGCTGAGGGACATCACCCAGACCCAGAGTTCAGGCCCATGACCAGACCGCCCCCCCAGTTTTTTTTTTTTTTAATAAATAAGAAGAATAGCTAGCTAGGTACTGGTGGCTCACATCTGTAATCCTAGTTACTCAAGAAGGCTGTTTCAAGAAAGCCCATGGACCCTTATCTGCAATAAACTACCCAAAGAAAGCCTGAAATGGAGTTATGGCTCAAGCAGTAGAGTGCTAGACTTGAACAACAATAAAAACAAGCACCCAGGGCTTGAATTCAAATCCCAGGACTGACACAAAGGAAAAAAAAATTGGTTATCTGGGTGTTGGTGCCTTATAATTGTAATCCTACCTACTCAGAAAACGTAGGTCTGAGGACCTCAAGCCTGGGCAGAAAAGTCCACAAGACTTGTATCTCCAAATAACCAAAACAACACAAAAACACAGAAGTTCAGCTCAGCAGCAGATTGCAAGTCTTGAGCCAGAAAGCTGAGAGAGAACGAAACCTTAAGGCTCCAAGTTCAAGCTCTAGTACCAACATAAAAAAAGGGGGAGGGGAATGAATGCCAGCATTAGCTGCAAAGGACTATTTTAATAGAAAACAATATGAAAACAGCTTGCAATGTAGCTGTTAAAACTGTAAGAATTTTTTTGTTAATGACAACTGAGAAACTGCAAGAGCTTTCATTTCCAACTGCACAAAGGTACCAGTCACCTTAATTTGCTGGACTCCTAGCTGAAATGAATTTACTAATGAAGCTAATCAAAAAATGAATAATTTAAATAAAAATGTGTTTTAAAGGGAGCAATTCTGGAAAAGCCAAAATATAAAGTTATGAGGGCCAAATAAAAGGACAGCTAGACTGTTATTTGTCAAATGAAAGCAACCAGTGCTCATGGCCAGCAGCTCCTAGGTGGCTGGGGGCAGGTGACCCAGGCATTGTTGAGGTAGTGGGGTGGGGGGAAAGGGGCAGGAGGCACAGTGAGACCTGACGTAGCATTCAACAGACTAGCTACATTTCTTACTACTTCCACACACTGAAAATACATGTAAGTCGTTTATTAAACACATTTCTATGTTTAAAGAAGGAAACATGGCAAACTATAGCAACTCATCTATTCTGTTCACAAGTACACAGAACCAAAATTAGGACATCTGAAACAATGAAGTCTCAACAAAAGGAAAAAATGCTCACTTTTCTTTTCTGTTGTTAATTTTGAAATCATTTATTAGCTGATGAGCCATTCAATAGATCAGCAGCCTATTAGGTGGGGGCCTTGGGGTTAAGAGTCACCCCCAGAGGCCAGATAGCCAAGTATGAAGGGTTAACTGCCCACCTAGGCTCAGTACCTGTGGCAAGTAGGTACCTTATGAGCGTTTTCAGGAAGCTAAGGTGTTAGTGGCAGACTGCTTACTTCCTTCACATGCTGTAGAGAGAAGAGGCAGAGGCTGTGCAGCAGATCTCCAATAATGTGGAGAGTCTAATCACACGGCTGCTCTGGGCATCCACTCAGGGACACGGGATAAGCACACAATTTTAAATGTTCTCATAGGGGACAACATATAGATATAGATATGCACAGTCCTTGGCACCCAGTTCCTTAATCAAAGGTTACTGAATCTATTCTGAAAATGTAATATTTAATACATAATATTCCTAATGGGTACAGTTAGGAAAATATATTCTACTCTTCAAAGAAAAAGTAGAGCCACTGGTGGCTCAAGCCTGTAATCCTAGCTACTCAGGAAGATGAATTCTGAGAATTATGAAATTGTATGCTATTAAGATGCTAAAGGTGATTTTGATTAATGCATGCATAATGGGTAAAAAGCAGAAAAATGTCACTTTAAAAAAAGGAAAAAATGTCTAAATAAATCTGTACAAATTAATATATGGGACCTTAGCAAGGAGAAGTATAAAAATTACTTGGCAGCCTTTCTATTTAAATTAATCTTTCTTTATTCAGAAGGAACTAGAATTCTGAATTTTCACCTTTATGTTTGGTCCTTTTTGCTCTCCTAGAAACAGATACTAACCATTTAATAAACTCAAATTAAAATAATCTAGTGATGTTGAATCTGGGACAGTTTAAGATCTATGCTTCTACAGAATCCTGAGTGTCTCATTCAGCACGCTTACAGTGCTCCACAATGACAACAGAAACCTAAAAAGGCATGAGAAGCTCCCTACTTATTAACTGTGCATTTCAAACATTGAGTACATGTTTTCGTTCCCTGTGGTCCCGTGAGACTACATGTAGACTACATGCAGCAAAAGTATACCACGTAGTTTGAACCCCAGAGGAAGGACTGAAGATAGGACTATCAAAGCAAAGTCAGGATGGTCTAATTTAAGAAGCTTGCTCAGTCAATGACCTGGACATTGATTGTGAAACGTTTACTGCAAAGCCCAGCAAGCTGCAAAAAGTATATCATCTTAACAATCGCCCATTCTTTCTAATGGCAAACATTAAAACATGACATTTTCACCACAGGGTAGTAAACAACAAAACAACAAAAACCAGCTTTCCCTATACTAAGTTCCAATCCAAATGGCTTCAGTACAATTACTGTAAATCATCTGCAGTTGCTGAATTGGTTGGGTAAAGTTGGACTTGGCACTGGCTGCTTCAAAAAGCACAAAAACTATGCTTTAAAAAGAATCTTCAAAAAATAAAACTAAAACCCCACAACATCTGCATCCTAAACGCTGGGAGTGAGGAGTACACAACGTGGCAGATTCATGGTTGTGTGTACATGATGGCATCGCTTCTCACAGAGGAGGCAGAGGAGTTCCCTTGGCTGTGATTGTGGCTCTAGTTATTTTGTCGCTGGGTTCTTGGGAGGAAGGAGTTTGTATGTGTTGAAGTAGCCCACCACCTGCTGGGGAATCTCCGCCAAGACACACTGAGCCAGGGCTTCTTTAGGAGCCTTTAAACAAATGAAACCAAAGTAGCTGTTAACAACTGAAAATTACTGATTCTTTTAAGAAAAAGACTAGAATTACCTCACTAGCTATTAACAAGCTATACTTCCTAACTCCTAGCTTTGTATCTTAGGAACAAGATCCAAAGTACAGACTAAGCTAAATAATCAATGCTACTTTTAATTGCTATTATTACCTGTGCAAATTATCTATAAAATCCTATTTTTGGTTCCAGACTTTTAAATGTTTGATAATTTGTTGCTGGTGTTCTTTAATTTTTAAATTTGTCTTTTATTTGCTTGGTGTTAAGTAATACCATCTATTTTGAAACAATTATAGGTTCATAGGAAGGTACAAAGGTAATTGGGGTGCCATGGCTCTTCAACTGGTTTTCTTCAAAGGTACCATCATATATAGCTATAGCTATAGTATAACATCAAACCAGAAAATTGACATTGGTCCAGACATTCATCAGGTTTATCTGTTTGTATGTGTGTCTATTCAATTGTATCATTTTGGAGCAATCTTAATAACCACAGAATCAAGCCACAACTATCTCATAGTCATAAAGAGCTCCAATATTTTTACTTTATAATCACACAAGCCACTTGTACTCTCATAGCTAGTGGTAATATAAAATGGTATAGCTACTGAAAAAAACTGAGCTGATTTGGTACTTACATATGTAATTACTGTACTCGGGTATTTATACTAAAGGAATAAAATCTTATGTTCATATACAGGAAAAACCCTATACATGAATGCTTGTAACATCTTTTTATATAATTGACCAACACTATAAACTAGTATGGTTAAATGGGTGAGCAGTTAAACTATGGTATGACTATCTCATGCAAAAGTACTCATCAATAAAAATGAATACATGCAAACAAGAGTCTTAAAATAGCTTCAGTATGATTACAAAGACAGCCTCATCTGAAGGTCATTTGGGAAGAGTAATATCCAGATTCTATTTATGTTTAGACTTTATGTGGTTTCTGTAAGTTCACATTATCAGATTAAATTTTATATAGCCTCATTAATAAGATTTCCACATGCTCTTTTCCATGTGAAAATACTCAGAGCTTTTAAAAATTACTTTATAATATTACTAGAGTATTTATGAAATGAGCAATACATTTACTTATGAAAGCAAACTACTAAAGCTTTTTATCCAACTGGTACAATGTGAAAAATGCAAAGCATTTAACCACAGATGATAATATCCTTTCATATAGTGACTCTTAAAAAGACAATGCACGTATATACATATAAAATAGCAATATAATATAACTCTCAGAAGAATTATTTTAAGTGATAAAAAGAGTCAATGTCAAAAGGTCATACACTGTCTGACCCTATTTATATAAATTCTTCTTCAATGTCAAAAATCATAAAAATGGCCAACAGATTAGTGGTTTCATGGTTAAGAAGGGCCAGACATGAAAAGGAAATATGTGTCTGCAAGGAGCAAGGTCAGTGGCCTTACAGGAGAGTTGTGATTCTGTGTAAGTTAAGATGTTGCCACTGAAAAATTGGGTGAAACAGTGTTCTAAAAAATTTTCATCGAACTGCCTCTCACCCTGATAAACTCTAATTTTGTACAGAGGGATTTTATCTGTTGTTTCAAAGATAAAATATATGTAAGACATTCACAGCAATACCATGTTAATAGTTTATCAGCTAAACTGCAAGATGTACCCAAGGCTAACAGTGACACGGCCAATTACAGCTCTCATATGAAAAAGGGGTCAAACTGCTCACACACCCATCCATCTCCTAACCGTATACACTGACTCAGCTGCTTGGGTATAGACTGGCAAAGGCCTGTGTTCAAATACTAAGATGTTTAAATAGAGTAGAGTGGTACTCACATTCTGGAATTGTCTGAAAGGTACAAATTGAACAATATCTCTGATGGCCACCTCGCCAGATGGGGAACGGAGACTTCCTCCATCACCATCCAGAAATTCCATGGCACTGAAGTCAGCTCCTCCAACTCCAACAATGATGATGGACATAGGCAGCTTGGCAGCATTAACTATAGCTTGTCTGGTTTCATCAAGGTCTGTGATCACACCATCAGTAATGATCAAGAGCACAAAATATTGCTGTCAAAAAAAAAGCAAGAAAAGTGTATCCACTGAGCAGGCTGAGGTCTCGGAGAGTATGATTAGTCATGATCTCTCATTCGTGCTTCTTTCCTTACCATGTGTGTGTGTGTGTGTGTGTG